TCTCCAGTTCTGGGTTTGTCTGATGTTTTTCTCATGATAGGATCCATATGATGTATAGGTTTTAGAAAAGAATACCGTAGAGGTTAAGTGCCCTTTTCAGTCACATCAGATGAAGGTATATCTCCGTTTTTGCAAACAACTGCTCCAGGTAACAGAGACTGAACAAAATGGAAGTAGCACAATCTATCAGCATCAGAACACATTAAAGTAGATGGGTACAGGGAATCAGGAGGGATGATGGAGGCTAGCAATGGAACTCCATCCCTTCCAGGTAAGCCATCTGAACAGAGAGTCAAGAGACAAAGGCTCTCTTCCAGGTTCATCCATTGACTAGTCTCTAGGGAAGGCAACTAGTGTTAATTTCTTCATCTGTATAATTTAGAAGATACCTGGAGTTATTTCTAGTCCTAAAATTTTGTAATTCTAAAACTCTGAAGTAGGTTTTAGTTAGTCAAATATTGTCCACAATTTTGTTTCCTAAGAGGAATGTGTTGTACTGCTGAATAAGACACTTCCCAAATGTCTGGGTTTGGGCAAAAAAAAAGATGGCAGAGAGGCAGCTCTGCTGCATTATTTGGCATTTATGACACTTGTATCCTAAGAATGTCGAGCATCTGGCAGGTGGAAAACAAATTGTAAAGACTAAGAAGAAAATTCAGCTCATTCACTCATCTTTGTACCTGGGACTCAACTGTTGTTCTTTCCATTATGATAGATTAAGAAGCAAATGATGGAATTTATTTTTTAAATCTCGGAAGGAGTGCACATTTTAGTACTTTTAAAAAACTATTAATGTTGACCCTTTGCATAACTCTAGCCGGATTTAGATGGAAGACTGGCTTACAATGCTGGATATTCTAAGTTGCCAATAATTTGTACAAAGCCCATGATTGCAAAACCACAAAAATTTCACAATAGCGGAAACCTCTAATTAACCGACATAAATGGCAGGGTGGATTTGTTTTAAATATACGGTTAATAATGCTTTTTGCTTTATGATCATAAACTGAGAGATTTTTCTATTGAACTGAGATAAGTAGGCTGCAGAAGGTTTTGCAAAATTCTTTTCCACTTTTGTGTGTTAAGTCTGACCCAGAACATTCTACTAATATTGGATCAAACTCTCCTCTGATGTAACTTGCCTGTGGGAATTGTATTGGCTGTGAAACTGGCTCCCCTTAGTAACTGGTTAAAAAAAAAAAAAAAAAATTTTTTTTTTTTTCAATCACAATTCTGTGGTTTGTTTTGAATGACTGAAGCCAGGTTCCTAGGCTCTGAGACAAGAAAGAATGTCAAATGGGACCTTTAATGTGTATTTATATTTAAACATCAGACCTAACAGAAAACCCTGAAGCTTTATACAATGATTGGAGCCTTGTAAGAACCTAATTAATGTATCTTCGGGTGAATGGTTGGCCTGGCACGCGAGCTGTCCCGAGGTACTCGAGGGGGTTCAGGTACCGCCTGGGAAGAATAGATGCGGTTGTAGTGATTCAGGGGCCCGTCTGAAAGGGACATGTAAAGGCAGCTTTGTCTGGCTGCCGCCTTTTCAGACTCACTTGATAATGCTAGTGTCAGTTTCAACTGAAGCGTGGGCCAGATTGCAGATAGCTTGAGCTGGCATTTCAAAGCAGTTAATTGTGAAACTTGAGAAGAGAATGGGCGCATTCTTCCTAAGGTGGCTATTCAAATGCACTATCTTCCCCCCTAGAGCTCCAGTCTCACTTTTGTTCCGTTTCCACATAAAATGCACGAGGAACCGAGCCTTTCCCTCGGTAGCTCCTATATTGCTGCCTTTGCTGGGACTGCTTTGCCTTGTTAAAATGTGCCCCGTGTATTAAAATGAAATTGTCACTGCTGGGTGGTGCAGCATAACATGGTTTGACACTAAGCGCCAGCAGCTACAGAAAACAGACTTTTATTGCATTTATTCTTTCAGAGAGGAGAGTCTCTAAAGGCTCACTGCAGACATTCACTTAGTTAAATCTGAATGAAGCCAAAGTGAACAATCTACGCTGCTGTCTTTGTGTTACTAGAAACAGCCCCCATCCGGCTAGGTGCGGCTGTAAAATAGCCTTAAGAAAAGATGATCGCACTTAGAATCCAAAAGGGAAGACTTGAGGGCTTTCAATCCGGAGCAAAAATATTTTAGGTGGGTAGAGTGGGTGAGCCACCTGATTTCCTACTCTAGCTTCTTCTGTATTTCCTGAAACACATTATTTAGAATCAACAAGTACGTGCACACACCCCAATCTAGTTTTAGTCTTCATTTAGAATTCCATGTCATTTTAAGACAAAGAGAAAGGATTTGATTTGTAGGACTCCTGCAAGCAAGCTTTAGATTCTTAACTGCCTTTTATCCAGATGAGTATCTAGAGAGAGATTGAACAAGGAGGGGGCTCTGGGGCCTAAGCTTTTCATTCTGTGGCTCTCCTAGAATAAAAATTCCACAAAGTAACATCTGTAGTAATTAAGGGCTTACATTTCCTCTCCCATTCATGTATCTGGTAGGAGGGAAGGTTATCGTCCCTAAGAGGCAATGGATAGTAGCTCCTGTGGGAAGATAGAAAGAACAGAATTAGAATTCTTTTGTTCCTAGAAATGCAAGTTTCCTACTTCAAAAAAAAAAAAAATAATAATAATAACAGGTTGAAAGACTTACTAAGATTCCATATAAAGAAAAACTTGAAGGAGTTAGGAAAATTGTATTTAGCTATTGCTAAATATTCAGAATAGAGAAAGATTCATCTTGCCTTTCTAGCCCAAATATCTTCTGATTTGGAGGAACTTGTGAATAAGCAGCGAGCAAAATGCTCTTTGCTTTTATTTTTTATTTGTTAAAATTGTACGTTATAGTTTAAAGAGGTTTGGTGGTTGTTTTTCTTCCCACGTTTGGGCATAAAATTGATTATTTTTTTACATGTTCTTCAAAATAACACCAATGTGGATCCTTTGGGCCATTTGATAAAAGAATAATAACCTATTCATTTCCTATACCTTCTTGGCATAGCAGGACAAGCAACATAATTTGTGGGACACCCTGCCCCCCCATTGAAAGATAAAAATGCAGGATTCCTTGTTAGAAAATCATTCAAGATTTCAAGATGCTGCCAGCAGAGTTTTAAACCAAGTAAAGGTGTATTCTCAGTTCGTGGCTGTGTCGTTCTGTGCTGGTCTTATGCCAGGGAAGTCAGTTTTGCTTGGTAGGTAGAGATTTGCCATTTATATGTGTAGCTATAGAGCAAAATGTGCCTCCATCCCATGCCTCATAGGAATATACATCAGAAAAGACTTCTTTTTTGGGATGCCTGGGTGGCTCAGTGGTTGAGCAGCTGCCTTCCACTCAGAGTGTGATCCCAAGAACTCCCTACAGGGAGCTCACTTCTCCCTCTGCCTCTGTCTCTGTGTCTTTCATGAATAAATAAATAAAATATTTTTTAAAAAGACTTCTTTTGTTTTTATGTAATTGAGTCATAAAATAATGACAACCCCTCCCTCCCCCGAACATGCTCCTGATACCATCTAGAATTTCTTAACCTGAAGAGTTACCCCAGCTGCTGTGAACCTTCCACTCAGGCACAGTGTTCTGCTTATCTCACCCTATCTAAAAGGACACTGGGCCAGGCCAGCCCCCTGCCTGAATGACTTCTCTAAGGGCCCTTCTGATCTCCTGTGCCCACTTCTCAGTGTTTCCCTGGATTCTGAAATTCCTCTCACATTTGAATGTCTGTAGCTGTAATAAATGTGTAACTTACTTGGCGTCTGTTTACATATTTTCTCCTTATCTTATTTCCTGTACACGTAATATACTCCTGAAAACACTCTTAAAATTCAGGTGTAAGGAGGTCTTATAACTTGAATTAAACTGCTTCATTCCAAGAAAACTCATATTAATAACACAGCAGAAAATCCAAAATTATACTTTGCCTTTTAGATAAATTTCACACATTTCATACACATTCTTTCATATGCGTGTGAGCTGTTTTTTAAATTTGTATTTGCCTCTGGTGTAGTGTTTGGGGCACTTAATTTCTTTTAATCAGAATCAGCCCTTTAATTTTTATCTTCCCCATCCAATGTTATAAAATAATAAAGCCCTGCTATAGTTAATTATTTAGAAAATGTTGCCAATTCTGGTCTACTTAGGATAAGGCAACACTGCCAATAGTGGCATTATGATGGTATAGTTCAAAATGTTGATTCATTAGCTTGCAAGTGAGATGCCAAAATCTGGCCCAAGAAACCTAGTTTAGGAATATGGATTCCTAGTATGAAAAAAATAGAGGATTTCCAAAACTCAAAGTTAAGAAAGTTCAGGACTTGAGGTTTATATATTTATGTTTTTCCCTCACATTTGAGACTTCAAATAATTCTCTTTTGTGCCTCCACCCAGTGGGTTTTCAATAAAAGTGTCAAGATGCTGATGATAACATTATTGTATTAATCATGGCTTTAGACTGCAAGCGGTGGAAATGCACCACATCTCCTCAGCATGTTTTGTGGAGTCCCTTAGCACAATAGCTTACTGGTTACAGTTCGACTTTGGTGTTAGACAAGCCTTAGTTAAAATCTCAACTCTGCCACTTATTGCCAAGGTCATTTGTCTGTGTAAGCCTCGGAGTCCTGGATGTGAAGAGCAAAAAGACCTCCATTTCAGGTTTGCTAATTCAGACATTCAACAAATATTTATAGATCACCTTCAATTGCCAGACATTGTTTTGTGGATTAAAAAAGATAATGCCTCAGTATACTTCTGGGAGAGGAATCAGCACAGGTCCATCCACATAGGCAACTTTCAATGCAATAAATAATTCTCTTAGCAATGGTGAGTTTGTGATATTCTAATCATGGTGGTCACGGCAATCTTTGATAATTCTCGTAGAATGCTCAACTCAAGCTTTTCCATGGCTTTCCCATTTTCCTTTTCCTTTTTATTTACTTTTTGCAAATATGTACAACTTTATTAAAATATATGATCCCTTGTTTACCTCGTTTTCCAGAATGGAGTCTACTGAAAAATGTGAAGTGGTAATTCAACATTTTAATGGAAAATATCTGAAAACACCACCAGGCATCCCAGGTAAGAGATACCATTAAGCAATTATTCATTTGTTCATTTGTGTCTAGGCTTATTGCTATTATTAGAATGAGTATATGATAAAGCCCTTGGTTGGTCACTGGGAATGAAAATGTTGCTTTTATAATTGTGTGTTTTTTAACAGTATACAGAAACTCATCTTTCTCAAAACTACCAAAGGTTTCTTTATGATCCTTCTTTGGCCTTTCTTTTGAATCTCTGCTGCTGATTGCTTGAAGTGAATTGGAAGAAATACATTACAAATAGTTTAAAATGTACTTCAAGTGAAGGAAGTCCTGACTCCTGTCATTAATGTTGGTATCTTGATTTCTGCCTTTATACTATATCTAAACAGTGATAAGTCACAGTGAAGTACACTAATTGATGCCAATTTCCAAACATTTTTTACCAGTCCATCACAAAAAGGGTACAGGAAGTGAGAGTAAGGATTTAGAATTTTTGTTTTTGCATTTAGAAACTTGACATTGCTATGAAATCTAAAGGCATAATTTCATATTTTTTAAAAAATATATCAGTTACTGACATATTGATTTTTTTAAACTGTCCACTCATCAGAGATAATTTGAGAAGCACCAATCTTGACTGTCCCAGGGCATTTCACATTTCCCAACGCAAAATCCTTAAGCTTTCCTAGATATCATAAGATGATAAAAGTTTATGCTACTAAAAATAACATTCACCATAAAGAATTGAATAAATCACATGCATTTGGGGCTTAAGCTAGCAATGCTTTAACTTGCTGTTAATTTGGTAGTAGTGCATACAGCAAGTATTTAATATTAAGTGAATAAATTTAAAATATATCTTATGCATACACACAAATATTAGAGATTGAATGAAGTGCTAAAAAGGAAGACTTAAAATGAGGGGATAAAGAAATATCTGACTAAGGCACATTGGTTTATTGGTTGCTCTTTCGTTTTTGGTGATTCTCAGGGGAAAAATCTGACTTCTTAAGTCTTATAATATTTTCCTTTTGATTTTTTTAAGCTGGGCTCCTATAGTGTTTGCTGTGTAATGTGTCTGCTATTTAAAACACATGGTTAGAGAGTTCAGGGGTTGCATATTTCAGTTCCTTAAAATGTACTGAGGCTACATAAAAGAGGAAATCTGAATAAAAAGAGAAATAATAATGTGGAGGGGTCAGGGTCCTTTTAGGTAGGACTCGACTCGGTTCATTTGGGGAAGGTATCGGGAAAGGAGAAAGGTCCTTCAGACGCTCACTTAGATGATCTGCAAAATCCAAAGTAGCATCTTCTGGTTAATCAGAGCGCACACACAATAACGCCTGTGCCTCGATTTGGTTAGCTTCCATGCGTAACATTCCCTTGAGAACCAACTACATTATGATCCAATTGGAGACATATGGTGTTGTTAAGAGAAGAGTTAGCAGTTTTCATCTCAGCATGTAAGCTGCCCTTGCATTTTAGGAGAAATACTTTTTCTTTTCTTTTAGCATAAAAGACACTTTAAGACACTTCACTCAGTCCTATCATTGAATAGAGGGGTTGCATTGTTAGAGAATTCTCCCCTTATTTATCCCATTTTATCCAACAGATGGCTATCTGTATAGAAGGCATTCAAACTAGGTGTGAATTAGATGGCTCTATAAAAAAATAAGAATGAGAAAATTATGTAGAAATTATTATTGGTTCAAGTTTTAATACATCTCAGGTTTTTTTTTTTTTTTTTTTTTTTTTTTTTTTGCTTTCTTCATTTTCGGAAAAGACATTGAAATCCTTGTTGACTTGATTGATTTGAAATTGTATTATTTGGTTTTCCCCATAGAACATAGCTGACTAATACAATTTAATGCTAAAGACAAAGAAAGTCACTACAAATCCCCAAATGTCTAGGCATCCTTCCTGAATACACAGGCTGTGATATCAACCTGTCTAATATCATAGCTACACCCAATGGAAACATTGTGAATAGCAAGAACTTGGTTATGAGTTTCTTACTCACTTTTGTCTCGTGGGAACACAAGAGGTAAAATAATTATGCTCAGTTATAAAATTCTTAAGCGATATAAGTTTATGCTTCTGAGATTTGCACTAATGTAATAGAATTAAATATACAATTTTGATCATCATTACTTAAATTTGCATATTTATGCATTGAAAGTCAGAGGTTAGTAAAAGTTTCAAATATTAACAGAAGATATTTCATCTTTAGTATTTAAGTTTGATATGGAATAAAATAGGATATAATGCAAAATGAGGGTATTTTGGTAGGTCCAGTAGTAAAAGGCCCTCATTGGATTCATTCATGGTCAGAATGTGAATAATCAAATATGACTACATGCTGTTTGCCTTTATTGGTCCTCACTGCTTGTTTGTTGTAGATAATTGAAATGTTATTTTCAAAAACTCATATCTTAATCCAATTTTTTATTTTAACTTGAAGGCTGCAAGGGGGATGTTATTAAAGGCCCTGATATCAAATTGAAAGGGATTCCTTGGATATTTTCAAAAGAAATGACCAAATTCCTAGCCTTTTCAATCTTACTGTAGCTTTAGACCCACCTACAACTAATATAGAATTCAAAAAATCATAAAAATCTCAATGTTCGGGATCCCTGGGTGGCGCAGCGGTTTGGTGCCTGCCTTTGGCCCAGGGCGCGATCCTGGAGACCCGGGATCGAATCCACGTTGGGCTCCCAGTGCATGAAGCCTGCTTCTCCCTCTGCCTATGTCTCTGCCTCCCTCTCTCATTCTGTGTGACAATCATAAATAAATAAAAAAAATTTAAAAAAAAGAGTATAAAAAAAATCTCAATGTTCTGCATTATCAAGATTTGGCATCTTTGAATTCAAAAGTTTGTGGTTTTAGGAAACTCATTGATTATTTCAATGCAATGCCATAAGGTTGTGTAATTGATGCACCACAGTTCCAGTAATGACCTGAGATTCTCACACCCTGAGATAGCTGTAGAAAAGATTGCATGTTAAGTCAATCACCTTCTTATACTAGACCGCTGCTTTTATCCTATGCTAAACAAGTAGAGAACAATTGGTACCACATTTGCATTCTTTACTTCTCCATTTAGGGATGATGTGGGGAAACTGTGCACGTGTCACTGGGTAGATACGGTGCGATTTTGGTTTCTGTCCTTCATAAAGGAGATGCAAAGTTAATTATTTTCCTGAGATGATCATCTAGTTTCCAAATCCCCTACAGTGCTATTTCTATACAAGAATAAGAAGAAAATCCAATTCAACCCAAAACTTCGGCCTTGCTCTGAATTTCAAATTTTAAAAACATTGTAATTTAAGATATTTACAAAGACATGTAACTTTGACCACATTTCTGTTGCCACTTCCGTTTTGATTTGTCATTCTAACAACAATTTTTTCACTAAATATGATTCATATGTTATTTAGTTTTGATTCCTGCTGACAGATTATGTGAGTTGGAAGGGCATTTCGTAGATATCTTCTTTTGGTTCACACTTTCTCTCTCTGGGCTCCTCCTTTTTGTTCATAAAAATCTAATTTTAATGAATACATCATGGGTCATTAATGTGTATTAGAGCCTCCAGAACTAGTTCTGCTCACTTTGAATTATAACGTTGTCCCCAGATTTTGGTTACCTGGATCAATGAAGCTAAATATACATGCTAAAAAATCAAGTTATTTGAATTCTGGTATATGTGTACAGGATCAGGCAGCTATGTTGCTACTAGCAGGTGGGGAAGAGAGGCCAGCGTCAATCATGTAGCCATCTGCAGAAAGCTATCATCTAGTATTTTCTTCCTCCCCTAGAGGGAAAAGAAAACACAGTGTTCCATAAATGTTGCATGTCCTACATATCGATCTTGATGTTTTCTGGACAAAATGAAGGATCATTAGTTGCTTGCCTGCCTAACCCCAGACATTTCTTTGTCCCATAATGAATTGCACAGCAACATTGTGCAGCCCCAAAGCGTTTCATTTTCAAACCTCTGGCAAAAGCAAAGGGTAAGTTCCTAGACACTTCAGGGATCTGTAGGGCATGAACTTGAAAGGTTCACTTCCAAAGAGCCCCCGGAGCAGAATGATGCACCATGTGGAAAAGGCTTCCACATATAAGGACATGTATTGATGAATGAAACATGCAGGCTAGTTTGTAGAAAAATAAATCAGATTTTGCTCTCAAACTAGACTTTGGCCTGTAAACATGTGTTCCTATTAGTGGAGCAGTCTTTCCAGAAGAAAATGGAATAACCCACTCTTAGGATGATTTTCTTACTCTTTTTTAAAATTTTTTTACTCTTTAGATAATTATATCTAATCCCAGTTGAACTTCCAGAAGTAGAGAAAGAGTAATAGCTCACCACATGTTGAAAAGCTTTTCATTTTAACAAATCTGTGATCAACAGAAATTTAGATGACTAAGTGAGTGACAGAGGAACCATATTTTTCTAATAAATAAAATAAAATTGAGTGCCTTATTGATGCTTTGACATACAGTCTGTCCTTTGTGTGTTTATGTAAAAAAAGTATATGATTGTGGATATATATCTCATGGGGGTATGTGAGGAAAAATATGTAAAGTCTGATAATTCTTTAAACAACATGAAAAGAAATGTTGTTTGTTTAAATTTAAAAGTTTTCACAGAGTAAAATATCACAATGTCCTTAAATGAAATTTATATTCAATTAATGACATGGTACAAAATTATGAATAGTTGTCAATAGTATACACATTTTTATCAGTAGAAAATGTTGCAGTCTCTCACAATCAGGGTTTCCTTGGTGAAACCAGTCTATTAAGTCCACAAATGTAACAAATGTAGTAGTTGAGCAAAAGGCAACAAGTATAAAAATATTAGCAAATATATGTTCTTATGGTTTTATTTGGTTGAAGCATTTCCTAACTCTGAGGTTTTCATCTTTGGGAAAACTAAAACATCATGTGCATAAGAAACTCTGTAAACACTATGATCCCCAACTGAGTGTCAGTGTCTATTTCTCATTCATAAGAGGATTTTTGTAATATCTA